TAGGGGGTGGAAATGGGGCTCTGGGGGTGTTAGGAGAGGGATTAGGGAGTGGAAATGAGGGTCTGGGGGTGCAGGAGGGGTGGTGGCCCATGTTTAGGAGCTGGAACTGGGGTGGAGAGGGGTCTGGGGGTGCAGTGGTAACGGGGGACAAGGTGGATCTGGGGTTCTAGGATGGGGGTGTGTGAGGGTTTAGGGGGGTCAGGGCTTGGAAATGGGGGGCAGGGGGTGCCTGGAGGGGGTTGAAAACAGGTCCCTGTCGTTTCCCCCCCCACCCCAGGAGAACTATGATGACCCCCACAAGACCCCGGCGTCCCCCGTGGTGCACATCCGGGGGCTGATCGACGGCGTGATGGAGGCCGACCTCGTGGAGGTCCTGCAGGAGTTTGGCCCCATCAGGTGAGCTCACGGGGGTGGCATCGTGGTCATGGTGACAGTGGTGGCCCCGATGGTGGTGGCACCATGGTGACCTTGATGGTGGTGGTTTTCTGGTGATGGTGGTGGCACCACGGTGACCCTCACGTTGGTGGTGGCACCATGGTGATCCTCATGGTGGTGGTGGCACCACGTCGACCCTCACGTTGGTGGTTTGGTGGTGGTGGTGGCACCATGGGGATCCTCCTGGTGGTGGTGGTGAAAACATGGTAACTCTGGTGGTGGTTGTTTGGTGATGGTGACAGCAGTGTGGTGACCATGATAGTGGTGGATCTGTGGTGACAGTTATGGCATCACGGTGACCCTGGTGGTGGGGGTCTTGTGGTGAAGGTGGTGGCATCGTGTTGACCCTGCTGGTGGTGGGATGTTGATGACCTTGGTGGTGGTGGGATCATGATGACCTTGATGGTGGTGGCATCATGGTGACCCTGATGGTGGTGGGTCTGTGGTGATGGTGGGGTCACGATGACCTTGATGGTGGTGGTATCATGGTGACCCTGATGGTGGTGGGTCTGTGGTGATGGTGGGGTCACGATGACCTTGATGGTGGTGGTATCATGGTGACCCTGATGGTGGTGGGTCTGTGGTGATGGTGGGGTCACGATGACCTTGATGGTGGTGGTATCATGGTGACCCTGATGGTGGTGGGTCTGTGGTGGTGGTGGTGGTGGTGGGATCACAATCACCTCAATGGTGGTGACTCGAGGGTGGTTTCATGATGAGGGTGGTGGGATCACAATGACCTCGATGCTGGTGGGTCTGTGGTGGTGGTGGGATCCCAATAACCTCGCTGGTGGTGGCATCACGCGGACCTTGATGGTAGTGGGATCACAATGACCTTGATGGTGATGCATCTGTGGTGGTGGCCTCATGGTGACCCTGCTGGTGGTGGTTCTGTGGTGGTGATGGTGGTGGGATCACAATGACCTTGATGGTGATGCATCTGTGGTGGTGGCCTCATGGTGACCCTGCTGGTGGTGGTTCTGTGGTGGTGATGGTGGTGGGATCACAATGACCTTGATGGTGATGCATCTGTGGTGGTGGCATCATGACGACCTCGATGGTGGTGGGTCTGTGGTGGTGGCCTTGTGATGACCCTGCTGGTGATGGTTCTGTGGTGGTGATGGTGGGCGGATCCCCGCGGACCTGGGCGG